ATAGCGGTACATCGAGTAGTGCTTGAGGTTTCCTAGAATTGTTGATCTGGATAGGCTGATGGCCAGCTGACTGCCATATTTGAGACCTTGTTGCAAGTATTTCCGGTCATATTTTTTGTAAGCTAGATTCCTGAGAAGGCAAATGTAGCTTAACATAGTCAAGAACCCTCGTTTATGGACTGAAAAATTTATTTTCCAACCTTTTTTCATAAATGAAACCAGGTACAAAAAACCCCCAACTTATTTCCCTACTACAAAGAAAAAGTCAGTGCGTTAATGCGGTCCTACTTGGTTGTAGTGGTTTGCACTTTACACATTTGCTTGGCAAGTAAATGTTGTTGGTTGGACTCCAGCCGGAGACACAAATCCCAGTTTGGGTTTGCGTCAGGAAGGGCATCTGGCGTAAAACTCTGCCAAATCAAACATCCGGAGTGGCCCAAAAGTAGCTTGAGTGAGGCTCTGCTTCATTTGACAACAAATTTATCTTAATTAATGAGATATGTACTTTTGTGCTATTAAATTAATTTAAATGTCCAATTGTGTTCTAACTAATTTTTATAGTACCTGAACCCCAATCTACTGGCTGTAGTGACTGAGAGCACAGACACGCATCAGGAGCGCAGCTTTGTCGGGATCATCCTGATTGACGGTGTGACCGGCCGCATCATCCACGAGGCTGTTCAGAGAAAAGCCAGAGGACCGGTGCATATTGTGCATTCTGAAAACTGGGTGGTGGTGAGCACGCTTGTTTGCTACAGTCATGTGTAGGGATTGAAATAATTACAACCACCTTTTGTTGTCTTGCTTTTTGCATCGTTACAGTTTGAAGGCCATTTGTTCAAAGCACATAACTAAATGGAGGAAAAAAGGAGAAATATTGAGTGTTATATTTATTGTGTCCCCTTCCCCTGTGTGACTCCGCAGTATGAATACTGGAGCACCAAGTCACGTAGGAACGAGTTCTCTGTAATTGAACTGTATGAAGGAATGGAGCTCTACAACAGCACCGTGTTCAGCTCGCTGGATCGGCCACACGCTCCTCAGGTTCTCCAGCAGTCTTACATTTTCCCCTCCGCCATTTCTACCATGGAGGCCACGCTGACTGAAAAGGGCATCACCAGCCGCCATCTGCTCAGTAAGTGCTACTCGGTTATATTGCTGTTTTCTGTGGTTTTTTTGGCTTTTAGTTATTACATAATATGTTAGAAATAAAAAGTATTTTCAGCACCGGGCTGCCCTTTTGTAATATGTTTGTTTGAATTTGCTTTGTCATAGTTGGCTTGCCGTCTGGAGGGATTTTGTCATTACCAAAGATGTTCCTCGACCCACGAAGGCCAGAAATAGTATCTGAGCAAAGCCGGTCAGTCCTCAAGTCAGGCTTAGTGTGAAAATGAAAGTCAGATTTTTCTTTACTGTTATGTGTCTGACTTGTTAACTTGATCTTCAGTGAGGAGAACCTGATACCCTATGCTCCAGAGCTAATGATCCGTACAGAGTGGTTTATCAACTACAATCAGAGTATATCAAGAGTGCAAGGTATTCACACTTCCCCGTCTGGACTGGAGTCAACCTGCCTGGTAAGTCTGCCTTCAAAGTAATGAAAAGCACATGACAGCACAGTGTAAGATTAAAATAAAATGGTTTAAAAATCATTTACATCACATATATTTAGTTTAAAATGGTACAAAGACAACCTATCAAATGTTGAAATGAAGAAATTTTATTGGTTGAACAACACACTCATCGGCCACCGCACTGGGTCACCTGTTCAACTACTTGTTTACATAAACATCTAATAAGCCAATCACATGGCAGCATTGTAATGCTCAAACTGAGCATCTTAATGGGGTAGAAAGGTGGTTTAAGTGGCTTTGAATGTGGCATGGTTACAGATAATAATCTGAAAAACAAAAACAAAATATCCAGTGATCAGGAGCTCTCTGTGTGAAAATGTCTCATTGATGTCAGAGGAGAATGGCCAGAGTGGTTTAAGCTGATAGGAAAGCAACAGTAACTCAACACATCGAACTTTAAAGGAGATGGACTAAAGCAGGAGTAGATCACACCAGGTGCCACTTGGACCAGAATCTCTGAGCAATGTTTCTGGCACCTTGTTGAATCTGTGCCATGAAGAATTAAGCCAGTTCTGAAGGCAAAATGAGGTCCAACATCGTACTAGCAAGGTGTAACTAATGAAGTGGTCAGTGAGTGGATATAACATGTAACTGTGGCAATCGGAGCATGTTTAATATCGTGTTGCATCATTTCTTCTATGGTTTTCATAACCGAGGGGAAACAAACGCTGTTGTTTTAAAAGTGAAGTGTTTTCCCATCCTTGGTAGATATATTGATTTCAGCTGCTCAAAAGTTAATGGCGTACTTTACTAGAGTTGTGATCCTGAAATAATTGATACATTCCCTGGAAAAAAGACTCTGGGCATGTTGCTCTGAGATTTTCATATCATTTAGTGCACAAGCTCTGTGCACGTTTTCTCCAACCGTATTACCAAGCTGTGAGCCGCGCACTAAGAGCAAACCCACTGGTCCCTTTTTTAAGCCTGTAGTATTCCAGGTTCATGGTTTCCAAAAATATTTTCATATTTTGATTTTTCATGCCACTGAGCAGTTTTTTTCCACTCTGCCTCAGTCCATCTTACATGAGCTTTGGCCTCGCAAATGTCCTGGCCCCTGCGTCTTGTTTATGTTTGTGGGTTTTTTTTGGTTTTTTTGCACATAGTGGAGTTTTAACTTGTTTTTGTGGACGCAGCAGTGAACTATGTTCAGTAGAGCTCATGCACAATTTTCCACAATGGAATATTGTCTTGTTTTTTAACCAAAGCTTGGCTATTCAGTATCTGCTTTTGACTTTCTTCCCCACTTACAAGGAATTATTTGGATCCTTTAATATCATCTGCCATAGATGAGAAATTCCCCCAGTTTAAATTAAATTGACAGTGGTTTTAAAAAAACGTTTGCCCACTCAGTCTCTGTCTTTCGCAAATGGTGAAATCCTCGTTGGTTTTACTTCTGTGAGGCTCAGCTTCTCTAGGATGTTTTTTTTGTATAGCAAATCATGTTACTCAGTAACCTAATTAGTTGTGAGAATGTTCCACCGGATCTTTTTTTTTTTTTTCTTTTCTTGGTATAGCATTACGCAACTTTTCTAGTTTTTTTTTTTTTTTTTTTTTTTTTGCCCCTTCCCCGTGTTGCTGACGTCAAATTCAAAATGAGTTCAGAACATTTTTTTTCTTGTTTACCGTCCAATTTAAAGCATCTTCAAATCATTGCATGTACATTTTCACTGCATCACAACTATTTGGAAACAGGGCTGTAGATGATTCCTTATTTGGAAATGTATTGCCACCACTTGGTTTTCCTCCCCACTTAAATAAAATCTTAATATGACAATTTTATTTTATTTTTTAGGTTGTGGCATATGGTCTTGACATCTACCAGACACGTGTGTATCCCTCGAAGCAGTTCGACGTACTAAAAGATGACTACGACTACATGCTGATCAGTAGCGTGCTTCTTGCCCTTTTCTTTGCCACCATGATCAGCAAACGCCTGGCAGAAGTTAAACTGCTCAACCGGGCTTGGCGGTAAGACGACGGTTAAAATCCTACATCTGCCAGCTCTGTGGCTGCACGAAGGACCTCAGCTCCAAGAGATGAGACCGCTGAGGCCGTGCCTGTCCAAGAACACAGGTCAAAGTTCAATAAGGCCCATAAGGAACTGCAGGGGTGAGGGGACAGTGGGGAGGGGGTGAAATGAGGGGTTAGCAAAAAGTTTTTGTGTTTATTTTTTAACTTATTTTGCAAAAATGAATTATTTCATAGTAGAATAATTGTTCTTTTGTGAAATGTCATTTCGATTAAATGTTTAACACAGCTAATTATGAACCGATAAAACCGGCCAATTTATTAAACTATGGAGCTTGAAAACTTCTGCTCATGTGACAGTTATTTTAGTTTTCCTGGGCCCATTTTGTTTTTGTTTTTTGAGACATTTCTGCATCACTGGACTGATCTAATATAAAGCGATAACAAATGTGGAGCTGAGGGAATAGTCAGGAGAAATGCGTGAATGTGAGCATGAACTCGAACAGTACCATAGTGGAAGGGTTTGTTGGGTTTTTTTTAGCCTGCTGAATCACCTTGATACTCCAGTCCCGTTTGGATTGTTGGCAAATGAGCTGTGAATATGAGCTGTGAGGTGATAATGTAGCATGTACAAGAAATGGTTTTTTTGAGATGTCTGAAAACCACCAAATGAACTGTTACACTGTTGCCACCATCACATGATGAACCAAGGGAATGGGAAGAGACAGTAGCCTTTCTTTTATGTACATCTCTCATCTTGTAGCTCATACTTTTATGAGAAATTTTCCACATAGCTACTGTTGATGCTCCATTAAAATTTCTCCCAAAACTCCATTCTGAGCGCTTTAGTTTGTTGTTGTTGTTGTTCTTCTTCTTCTGTTAGCTGCTCCTTTTAGGGTTCTTCACAGCTGATCATCTGCCCCCATCCACCTATATTCTGTCACACCAACTCTCTGCTTTTGATTATTATTATTGTTATTATTAGTATTATTAGTAGTGTTATTATTATTAGTTCAATATTCCAGGTGCTTGTGACATGATCCACTCTAAATAACAACATGTGCTTTTTTATTATGTAGTGCCTGAAAGTTCAATTAGACATGGGATGGCAGCCTGGTTTCACCCTAATGCCATAAAAATATATGTTCATAGGTTTCTCAGTTCCTCCATAACAGATCGAGGACTCATGGGAGAGATATATTCCCCACCTGGCTTGGGATGAACTCTGTATGAACTGCAAGAGGTGACCAGGGTGAGGGAAGTCTGGGTTACCCCTGCGACCTGAACCCAGATTATAGATGGATGAGACAATAAAGTTTATCTTATCTTGAAAAAAGGAGGTCAAACTTAGAGAAAGCTCTCTATATCATAGCTTGAGTGTGGAGAATGAGGCAATCCTAGAATGAATAAGTTATTTATTTCTATAAATAGATTAAAGACAATTTTTACAATTGACACAGAATTATGAACTTACAAACAGCCTTTGAATGGGCCAAGTCTGATACAGAACCTTCATGAGAACTTCATAGAGGTTGGTGTAACAAAGGTAAATGTGGGCCTGCACCTCAGCAGTGTAAACGTAACATGACTTCCATGCCCACACAGTAAAAAAAAAAAAAAAAAGTATACACAACATCAGATTTACATCATTAAAAAATTTCATGAGGATCAGCTAATGACAATTTTTCAGCTCTATTTACAAATGCAACAAGTAAAAACTTCTGACTTGCTCTTCATATGTTTAAAGACCTGTGAACATAAGTGTGACTGCAGGTTTTCAACAAAGTTTCTAATGAAAATGAATTAGAATCTAGCTTTAAATACACACTGATTAAAATGAACAAATTGACACTTTAAATGCAGATGCTGAATTTTCTGTAGTTAATGTAGTTTGATGTAAATTTCTAAACTTTGGGAGTGATAAGGCTATCTTATCTCAATCAGCTTTGTGATACTGAAATCATAAGCTAATTCAAAAGCGCAAACACCCAATATTAGCTGCATCGACTGTGTGTGTGTGTGTGTGTGTGTGTGGGGGGGGGTGACCTACCATGTTCATTTGCAAATTTACTATAAAATTTGTCAAGAATCTTTAGACTTGCACTTGGCTAACTCTTTATAATCTGGTATTTTTTAATGGAGCACTTTATTAAGTTTACCTGAAAAGATGCTAAAATATTCAAATAGTACTTTAATTATTTGGAAAAACATCAAATCTATCAACACATTATATTTTTCAAGCAGCATTGTGATAAAAAATTACAGACGTGGAACAGTTTGGCACAAGCCCAGCTTGTACATTTATAAAGACGTGCTCTCTTGTAAGGTATATGTTGCATAGCTAAGGCTGTTTTTAGTGGTATGAGCATACGACTGTCAGACTTTAAAAATTTATAAGTGATCATACTTTTTTTTTTTTTAGTAAGGAAACGGCAGTATCTTAGTTATCAAAAACTGACAAATGGTGATAGAAAATAAATATTTGTTCTCTATTTGTGAAAATACTATATTCTTGTGTATTGTCGTTGTGGTCGAAGTAGAAGAGACGTCTCTAAAATACTGATTGGTAAAACGTTCAGTCAAAAAAACCTCGTGGATATTACACCAAACACATGTCAGTCAATGAAAATACCAATACGTTACACATGTGAGCAGATATTATCGCACACTGTACAGTTGTGTATCACAGAGTGATTAATAACGTCAGTCACCGTTTTGTACTCGTCTAGTTTCAGACATGGTGAGATGATTTCTACCTTTTCTGCCAGAAGCTGCTGTTCCCTGTCTTAGCAGGTTCACTCAGGAGTCTTTCTCTTCTCTCTGTGTTTGGCGGTCGGCCCGGCGGCAGCAGGATGTAGTGTGTCCCGCTGGCCTTTCTGCCATCCTTCAAAATCGGAACAATGCAGGGAGAAAACTGGGTTGCAGGTGGCTCACCTGTCATCTGTCTCAGCAACGCCTTGCTGACATATTTGGGGTTAGCAGCAAAACTCTGAGTGGCAGGCATCACTCCATTGATATAAATTGGAAGACTTTTAGGGCTTGGGGTGCGTGGTGGACAGGGTGGGACTAAAGGCACCCTAGGAGGGATTTTGGGAGGTTTGTCTTCATCGGTCCCAGTCTTTGATTTTGGTGGGATGGGGATACGAGGAGGGATTTGTGGCCTGTCAGTGGACCATGATGAGGTGCTGGCGTGTGGTTGGGTAGAAGGACCCGAGCCAAAAAATTGGATTCTAGGTAATAGGTTCTGGTCTGGCCGTTTGGCTCCAAAGGTATCCTCAGCTTCCGACACCACAGGCTGGTTTTCATCTGTCTGGTGACCAAGGCACCAAATGTCGGCCGCAAACCTGCCTCCTCCAAATGTTGGCCGGTCCTCTCTGCTTGGCCAAGAGAATGCCATGGATCCAACGCCAGCATCTCCAGCCCTCAATGAACTCTCTTGGTAGGCATAATTTACTTGGCCAAAGTCTTTGCTGCTGTTCCTGCAGATAGGCTTAGGGCAGCTCTTGGGCAACAGGGGTCGTCGGTCACTGGTAAAGAACTCAACCTCACTATCAGCTGCTTCATCTGACATAAGCTCCTCGGGGTCTGGCAGAGGTGGCAAGGGTTTGGCCTCCCTCTGATCAACCCCGAACACTGCCTGTCTCTGGGAAGAAGGAACCACCTGGTCTCCCTCAATGGGCAGCAGCATGTTGTCTGATGCTAGGTGGTAGGAATCAGAAAAAAATGGAGGCTGGGAGAGAGAGGGGTTGGCTGCGGAGAGAAAAAGGGGCAAAAAAAGGAAATGTGTTAAAACGCACAAAATGCTACGTTTGCTTTTATACTGAGAAAGCAAATTGTTATGTAAGGCTTTGCTATCGCTGTTGTCTCCTCCAGTGCAGAAACAACACTCAGAGGAAGAAACATGGAAAACAACTTGCTGCCCAACCGCCTTATAAAAACGTACTTACTGAAGATACTGTACAGGAAACGGGAGTAAAAACATCCTGAAAACACCAGCTTAACCTATCGCCTTCTTCGTCAAACATCAGCCACAACACCCTGATTAACACGGGAATCGTCATTATCTGCAGGGCAGGCCACAATCTTAACTGAGCTTCCCATAACCTTCTCTGTGGAAACATCCGACGTGCCCCAGACTGCAGGAACAGCTGGTGACTGGGGAGCGATAGCTTCCCCTCCTCCTACACCCCGATCTCTTTCCTCTGGTACACAGCTTAGTACTGTGATGGCAAACTCACTTGCATCCTGTCTAAATACTGTTCTACTAGACAAATGAGGTTTAAAGGTTGTTTTTTTTCTCTAATAAAAAAAAGTGCATAACTTCACCTAATTTAACAAACATAACTCTTCACATCCTTTCAAAATTTCAAAACAATGAAAAAAAAATTGCCAGAATTTCTACAATTTACAGTAATAGCAGATACATACTGATAGTGTTCCTGATACATACGAATTCAAAGCAGAGGAGCTTTGATAAAGTTCATGCATCCATGCTAAATCCGTTTCCTTCATACATGTAACACTAATATCTGAAAAAGACTCACAGTTAAACTCGTTGGCCATTTGCTGTTGCTGTTGAAGCTCCTTCAGGGTTTGCTCTGTGTAAGCCCTCAGGCCAAAGCTCTGCACTCTGCAAAGCAGGACAGGTTGAGAAATCCATACAGAGCTGTGCACGATGGTAAATCATTCCAAATCAGTCTTTATAAGACGAGCCTAACAAATGCATTAACAGGACATATGTTCAGTTGTCCTTTTTCTATTTGCAGTATAAAACAGTAACAAGTTACTGGATTTCTTTTCTGAGCCAGACTCTGTGTCTATGATTGCCAGACACTATTATTTAGTTTCATATTATCTTGCTATATACATATATTATAATCCTGCATGACTACATGTAGTTGCTCATGCTAACATTTATCCCTTCTCTTATATTTCTCTTTTTTTCCTGGTCAGATTTACATGCTCAACATTTTGCAAAGCTGCCACAGATTCACAGATAATAATAACAGATTATTTACATTTTTTAAAAAAAATTAGTATTAGGACTTGTGTAGTGTTAATTGTACCTGTTCAGGTCATGCTGTCTCCACAAATTATTCTGACTCCTGGCCATGATGTAGAAGAGATCGTGTTCTTATAAGAAGCTCTGTTTGATATCGATCTAAAGCTCCAACACAAGTCAGCTCCGTCAAACCCATCACAGCTTCATTCTAGCCAGTGGTAAGCTGTTGAAGAAACACTGACATTAGAGTGCAAGGGGATTCATCTGGCTATCTTTTACATTCACATCTGGCTTACATCACATCATTCAGGTCACACCTTTGCTGGTGTGAAATGCCCATAAGCAGGGTACAGCTGGATCTCATCACCGTCCATCACACTCAGCTGCACGTTCTTATCTTACCAGGCAAGGCAAAAGGCAGCAAACAATACAAGATAACTGCACATACACAAGCATACAGCATATATTACAGACAGATGAACTACTTCATGAAAATTGTATATAAAGCAAAGTATTTTACATTGAATAAGTAACATATAACAAAGTTCAAAGGATGTAACATTTCATGACATTCTTTATGTTTAATATGTAGATTTGCAGGATTGTGAAAAACATTCATATCATTCACATTTCAGTGTAGTAAAAGTATCATTACACAACTATATCCAATAGCTTTTTCCTATTCTCAAAAAGGTTATGAAAGCAGGGCAAAAGAAACGTTTACATTTTGAACATATCCCACTTTTCACTAGACGCAGTAAACAAACAACTTGCGATACCCCGCATGTTTTAGGTGAGCCTTGAGGAAACGAGTAACAACAAAAGCCAAGAAAATTGCTTCAGCCTGCTCTCTCAGCCACCATATGTATCCAGTTTAAAGCTATTTGTCTGATGAGCAGGGTATTACACAACCTCTGGGTCAGATGTGGGAGGGCGACAGTACTCCTGCACCCTCCTTCGTCTCTGTGCAACGCTCCAGTATCTGCCCTCACAAAAGGGGCTTATTGTCCAGAATTCCTGTGATGCTGGATGACAAACTCCACCGCTGAGACGGCCCCAAAGCACCGCGATTATAGATGCACTTGAAGGAAAATTTAGTTTAAGTCTGACAGGGTCACAAGCCCTAACCTTGTTAGCCTACTGGCTGAGAACAAAAGTGCACTTAAAAAGTGGCACACTGCGAATGACTAGGAAATGTCTTACTGTTAAAATATTTTAAGGGGTTAAGGTGAGAGAGAATTTTGTGCAGACAGGCAAAGCAATGAAATAAGTACAAAGAGTGTACGTGACATCCATGCTGATGATTAAGATTCTCAACTAGCACATATCTATAAAGATGATGACTGTTTCTCCTGATATGATGCACAGCAACTGATATCATTCCAGGGCGATGGACACTTGTATCAGGGCAAAGGTGAAGGTCATCCTGTTTTTTTTTTTTTTATGATAGATGATGATGTCAACCTTGCTGTTGCGGTTTTGGCTTACGGTCAGATGTGCAGCTCAGGTTAAGCAGACCATCAGACAACTGAAGGAGTTTAAAACTGAGTGGTGCCCCTGTGTCTTCCCAGCAGTGACGCAGCAAAGCACCCAGCTGCATTGACTCAATGACATACCTCTAAATCTTTGTTCTCCCCATATATTGTACTTTACATATTTGTGCTTCTTCTTGCATTGAAAGCAACATTTAGAATTAAAATACAATAAGGCGGACACATACTGTGCTTATGCAATGAAATAAAAAGACCCATTTCACATTAAAATGAAAGCACCACACTGCCTGGAGGGCAACCCAAGGTCTCCATTCTACTATCACTGCAATCTTTCGCTTCAAAGACCTGCTTTGTTTCCTGTCCATGATAACTCCAATGCCGAAGTGGGAAGCAAACAATGCAGAGCATGCAAAGGAAACCCAACTACAAACAAAACAGTGACTCAAGCGTGGATTTGAATATTAATGCTATCCCTAAAACAACCAACTGTGGCGTCATTTCCACCCGTGAGCCTCGGAGATGGAAGACACAGACTAATTATGAATTCTACCGGCAATTACTCAGTGTCCATGAATGGAGCCACTCTCGGGCATGAATGGGCCTTTGTACCACTTTGGTGCACAGCGAAGCAAGCCTGAAAATACAAGTAAACTCTCCCATGAGGTTAGGACTAGAGATACGCCATGGAGACAAGCTGCCACGGCCAAGGTATGAGTCTGTGCCACAAAAAGTCCCCTGCGGGGGGGACTGCGTGTGTTGGCACAGTTGGAAGGACAAGCCAGAGGCTGGAGAAAACAGTTTGTTTAGTACATGCAGAGTCCTTGGTGTGTTGTCCTTGGCAGTCCCCACCTCAACTTTTTTTCAGGCAATAGACCATTCAGTGACCAGGCCTTCTTTAAGCACGAGTTGATTATCCTGATGGCGTGAAGTTTGCACCTTACACACACATACATACACACTAATTAGGTCTGCTAAGCTGTGGGACTAACTACAACACTGCGCGCCACAAAACTAAACAATAAAGCATTTGATTCAATGAGAGAAACCGTTTTAACAACAAGATCCGCAGCGCAAATACAAGTTTATTCACCAAACTAATCTAGGTTCAATGTGTGACTGCAGCTTTCAAATTTTTTTTTCCATTGCACTAACAAACCAGACCTTTAGGTTTATCTGCGTGTACTGATTTTTAATGGGTCACCAGGCGAAGGCCATGCTGTAAATGTGACAGTTTAGTGCAGTTCATTAGATCCTGACATTTCCACTGTTTAACTTCATTCACCTGGGGAATAAAAGAGGCATATGAAAAGATGTTTGTGATGATATTTAACTGAAAAAATGCAGTTTTAGTACTTGCTTTTTACTTACAAAAAATATTTTAAAAAAAATAATTAAATAAACGTGTTAAAAATCTTTTGTTGTTACATATCTAATATTGTTACATAATATTATATATGTAACAACCTATCTAATATTGTTACATATCTAATATGTAACAAGATGGTAGGTAGACTTTATAGTCTACTTGCATGTCCGAAATGTTTTGTTTCTAATAAACTAAAGTCTAGATAGTGTGCATGAAATGAAGATTTTCACATTTTTATAGTTTGAAAAAAGCACAACTCCACCTGGTCATGGGCCACATCGGCATGTAGTACATTTTCACATCATAACTATTAAACTATATATTTATAGTTTATTTTATTATTATAATTAATTTCCATAACCCTTATTGTCACTTTCTGTTATTGGCCTTTATCGCACTCTATTCTTGATAACACCGAGTTATGTTTAACTCTGGGTCATGCGCTTTTTACTGTAAATTATTTTACATTATATTACTGACGTCACTTTTTTTTTTTTTTTACACTTTTTGAATGATAGTTGTGAACCAATTTTGACTCCCTCATTTTATTTTATTTTTGCGCTTTAAATTATACGAAAACGTCAGACAGACATAGGATTACTGGTTTACTCTTTATCGCCTACTAGTGGGTGACAATGGAAGTGCCGTAAGTCCAAGACCTATCCCGCCTCGACGTGACTTCCCTCGGCGGACGCGAGTGAAATCCCTCATTGAGTCAGAAGTACAGTGCGTTCCACTAGATAAATAACTTCCTCTAGCTGGTCTACTCACACAAATGTCCAGCTTACAAAATGCTGTCCACACACATCTGAACTATACAGGCTCTACTCAGAGAACAGACCTCAGTGATTTCTGACCGGCTCTTTTCCTTTTTTTTCGTGACGTCCCAGTGTGGAAAACACTCGTATACACTTAGTAACAGAGTAACATTCACATCACATACAACACAGCATCTGACCGTCCCGTGGTAAAGGCAACAAAAAAGAGCCAATGTTCATCAAACAACTTTTATGAGAACGTGATGAGCCTCACCATGCAAATGCTGCTTATCCGTCACGTACAGCTGGTTTCGTTCGATCGCCCTCAGTCCCAAGCGAGAAATGACACTCGTGAGGCTAAAATCCAGTCTGTCAGTCAACCCTGACCCATGTGCATCGACCCTCCTCTGTCAACAAAACTGGGAGGTGAAACTCATTTTGTCAGAGTGACGCGGGTTTCCACATCTCCTTATAAAAGAATTCAACACCCAGAACGCGTTACTGTAACTCCACCCATGGCTGCCTTAAAGGGGAAAAATGCCTGTAATTCTTTTTACATCACTCTACTAGGAAATGCACTGAATACTTTACTAAGTTTACTTTACTATTTGATTTTTAAAATTTTAATTAAATGTATTTTTTGAGTATGTAGTTAGAACCCAATTCTGTCCAACATAGTTTTGACTCTATTAAATGTAACTGATAATCTGAAATTACTTTTCATATTACATTTTTACATACACATGATAATGTTATAAAATATGATTATTTGTTCTCAATTAAACTATACAAATCGTCTCCCTTTGACCAGGAATAACATTGAAATTGTACTTGCGCATTATGCTATCAGCAGTAATTCACGTTTCTCTTACGTTTCATCTCTATACTCCTCTGTACGGTTTTACTCACCTTCCTGAACTCTCAACTGCAGTGTGAATCTAACAAGATGTTGTTAACCTGTCTGCGCAACTTTCAGGTTTCAGGACACCGTTCACAAAATCTATTTCCTTACAGTCAGTGGAACTAAGACTCTGTAGAGCTTAAGGATCTATGCTTAAATCTATTAAGCATTTCCCCTCCCATTTTATTACATCGTTTACCCTACACTAAGTATGCCTCAGCAGGTCAAAAAGCAAAAATGTCCTTTATTTTATTTGTTCCCTGTAATGCGTGTACAGGAAATTGCATTTCAAGCAATTGTGGCCTGACTTGTGTGGGAGTCAGAAAGTGTGTGGGTGGATATTGGCGTGTGTACAACATAAGACTGATAAAGAGTTACAAGCACTAGATTGGCAGACCAGACATGAAGGATGAGGACTTGTTTTGAAGCCTGCATGTCACAAAAGAGTTGACTGTGTGTGTGTGTTTGTCCTGTGTTTGTCCTCACCCACGCTGAGAGAGGCAGAAGGACAATATGAGAGGCCATTTACCAGAAAATAACAGGGAAGTGAGTGCAGGCTATTCTTGTTTTCACCACAGGGTCCAGACCACACTGAGCTTACAGTCTTCCCCCAGACTGCCATCTGATCTTTTTACTGCAGTGACAGCACAAATAAATCCTTAGGCAAAATGACCCATCAAATATTGTACACTGTATAACCAAGTCGTAAAATTGTAAGCCAAGTGACCCTGTAACCTTTCTTTCTTCCCTTGGTGCACATTGTTCAGTAGTTCCTCTGCTTGTACTACTCCAATAAAGCCCACATACAGTCATATGCGGATTAAGGAGTGCCTTATACCTATATACTGACTGTAAATCACAAACCCATAAAATAAATACGCCACATGTAATGTGCTTACATTGCTGCAATCATCAACCATCCCTCTCCCACTAACGTTAACTTGTTTGCTTAAAGGAATACTCATAGTTTCAACAAATAAGCTGTTATGTATCAACTTTACATTGTGCAATGTGGAATTTCAAAGTGACACAGAGATGTCCAGTCACACCACTGTCATTCAGCTATAAACCAAGTACACGTTTTGTGTTACAGTTAAGACTGTAAGACTAACAATACCAAACTATATAGAAATTAAATATACCACCTGCTGTCCCTTCAAAATCAAAATCTTAGTCTAATCATCTTTTAATAAATTGCATAAAGATGGCCATGCAGCAGCAGCTCTGCTCTTGCTTTGCAGTCCTCTGTGGGCGCTTGTGGTGACCCAGGATGCTCAGGGCTGTGGGGGTTTTTGCCAGGGTGGGCCAGTCTCCCACAGGGGAGGTCAAGTCATTTCCTGCTCTGAGAGACCTCCGTCCCTCACAGATGTCAGTGCAGTCAGAAGCCCACCTTCCACATCTGCAGCACTCCACCTCCCAACATCCTTATCAAAAAAGATAAAGAAGACTGCTTATTTTTAATGTTGCAAACATACATATATGTCAGACTTCGAGAGCTGGCCTGACTCAAATGCAGACTGGCAAAAAATGAGCAGGAATACCAGGTGGACTGATGCAAGAATGAGTAAAAAGTACAAGATCATAATAAAACTCATCAAGACTTATGGTTATATTAAACTGATCTATCAGTTCCCCATCTGTCTGAGAATAGAAAACTAAAACGATGAGTGTGTGTGTGCAGCACAGCGCTTAACAGTGTCTCAAGTTGGAAAAGGAAATGAAGTAGGTAGGTGTTAACATATGTTTTCTATGGTAAATACATTCGTGTAGGTTGATGTGCTGACACGGTGACACAGGGAATTCTCTTATAGAGGAACCAGCTGTGTACAAACATGTAATAGCAATTAGAGCGCCGCTACAGGGCTGCTGTTTTCAAAGTCGCGGTTGACGTGTCTTGTGTTTAGGTTTCACATTCCTTGTTCCAGCGAATCTGTGTTAGAGGTTGTGATAACTACAGGCGCATATGGCGGCCATATTTATGAGCCGTATACTTTAAATATGTGATTGCATAAAACAATGTCCACTTGATGCTGCCATATGTGTAAGAGGTTAAAAATCAAGATTGTTCAGAGATGAGTAAACGATGGGTCACCAGAACTGAAAGAGCGTCGTCATTCAACTCTGGATTCGAGTTGCTGTAATTGAGAAAAAACAGAAAGATATTCTTATGAAATTCTCATATTTAGTGCATTGCAACCCTCTCTTGCCACCTACTGCTTCCTTCAGCCTGATTTGTAATATTTATGTTTGATGCTTTACTTCAAAGTAGACGGACAGTGATTAAGACCTGAATGTTGTGCTGCTGTGTGCAACGCTGTGTGTGATTTGAAACACACACCCCACACCTAGTCCTTGTTTCATTTAATGGCTTTACGGGTAGATCTGACAAGTTGGGAGCTGGGCTCCTCAAATGTCTGTGTGGGCTCACCACCACAGCCTTTGACCACATCTTAGCTTAGTTATCAAAGGAACAACAGTCATCAGGAGGAAGAGGAGGACAGATGGAAGAATCATGCCTCTGCTACCTTTTAATAATGGACAAATCTGGATGTGCACAAAGATTTCTGTGTAATCTAATCTGATGCTAAAGTGCTTTTTAAAAAAATAATAATAGCAACTGATATTTTCTGTGAATAAAATCCAGCTACAATGGAGCTTAATGGAGAGAGAAATGACACACAAACACACATAAATGAACACAGATTTCTTTAAAACACAGAACAAACAAACAATGAAGCAGCGTAGCTTTTCCCAGAGTACCAGCAGAGAAAAACAAAGCACAGTAAGCAGGCAAACTGATGGAGGAAGTACACCAAGGGACCAAGGGTTAAAGTGATTTAAACGCGGCAACATCAGATGTCATGGTGACAGTTTCAATGAATGGCAGAGATCTGAGCATGAAAGAAGAGCAATTCTTTTCCTAGGATACTGAACTGGACGCCTGGCCAGCTTTTCTACCCATTACATCAGGCCTCAGTGTGGGCAGAGGCTCTGCAAACCCAGCAGGAGGACTTCCGCAGCCCTGTGAAGTCCATCTCCAGTTCATTAAGAGCTTCAGTTGAAATGAGAAAAGGGAACAGAAGGCCGGAGGAGGCTCTGTGTAGAATCCAGATAAAAAGAATACAGAGAGTGCCTTGGACTGATCTTTGACCGTTATTTAACTCATCCGTGGCAGCTTTTCTTGATAAATCACACTTTTGCTGGAGTGGAAAAAAACATTTGCAGGCATCAATGCAAATTAGCTAACAAGGACATTTTGGGTAGAGACAGGAGATACGAAGGCGCTGTCAATATTTGAATGTTTGCACAGTTTTCGCAACTTGTTCTGAGGTCGAAGTCTTTTTTGCACAACTGCGTCATCCCGGGTCATCTTTAGGAGGACGGTGGAAACTAGTCAAATTTGGTCAAATTGTTGTTCTGATTATTTAGTGAGTGTGCGTGTGTGTGTTTGTCCACGTCATGGCTCTATTGAGTAGCAAGGCTGAGAAATGATATACGTATACAACCCACAGTTTTCCCCAGAAAGGCATGGTATGCTCTCTTATAGTCTGTTCTTTTCCCAAAAATTAACTTGGAGTCCTGAGGCAGTTTTCCTTTTTTTTCCCCTCCTCCTCACTGTGTCTCTCCTCCCACTCCAGACCTCCTCCTTTTCTTCTCTCACCTTACTTACGCGCACTCCATCATTTCCTGTTGAGTCACAGTCAGGCTGCACCATGTTTTACATTTTATTAGTCCCCCTTTTTTTTTAACTTTCCTCCTCCACTTCCTTGTTCACAAGATGGCTATCATTTTAAATTGAGAGGAATGAAACACAACGTCGGCCCACAACAGCCTTCCAAGCAGCATTTTGGAAAAGTCAAAGCAGATGTACAAGTCTCTTCCTGGCAACTTGACTGATTCATACAGTAAATGACTTGGAGGATCAAAGGATTATTAGCTCTACAGATAATTCACCACCTCACTTGCCACAACATGTCATCAGTATACAGCATTAATGCCAAAAAAAGTTTCCAGCAGCAATGAAAAACAAAAGATGTAGCCTTAAGAAATTACCTTAAAGCATCAAACTGTCTGTTAATATTGATCACTGAGATGAATTCCTTCCTTGGAAATTAAGTCCATATTGCGCCTTGGTATTTGAGTACTTACCCTGGTCATTTGGGAGGAAGTGATGCTGTAGTGAGGTCAGCACTAGTGTTTAACATATTCAGTGCATGCCTGTGTGTTAGGCAGGGTTGAAGGCAGGGCTCTGAGAAATGAAAGGGCTCTGTGGTGGACCGGTTGAGTCATTCAGAAATACAGCTGCTGACTCAGTTTGCAAACTCGTCTCCAGAAGCACGTCGCCAGCCTATGTGGCATTATGTGTGTTTGTGTGCGTCCACCCTGTTCCTTTGAGGGACTAATATCTTGACATGAAGACAACTCCTCCCAGGTGATCATTGTCACTGTGAAAAAGAGAAGAGGAAAAGGTTATAGTACTAATAAAGGCTTCATTCTTAAAAAACTACAATTGTACTCCTTTATTCACAAACTGCTCAAAGAAAGCAGATTGCATCTAATGGAAAATGAGGCTTTGCTCGAAGGAGTGCCCATCACAGCGCTGCTGTAATCCCCTTTCTGGCACAAGGTCAAAGTTTTTCTGTGATTCAAGCATGTCGTCATCTCTTGAGTTTACTCTACACACCCTTCTTACCACACTAGTCTTACAACTGCCATCGACACAACGTGATCCACTGGAAGTATGGACTGTGGGACATGCTTCAGGATTAGTCATCTTGGATGTGTTGCAAGACCCAGAGCTGGGATGCTGTTGTTGACATTATTATGTTGAGAGGACAATTAAGGACACCTTGCTCCTTAATGGAATGCAATTTCCTGATAACAACTGGAGAGCTATTTTATCTACTATTATATCTATCTATCTGTCTATCTGTCTATCTATCTATCTACTCTTTTACCCAGCACGCCCCTGCGGTTTATCCTTCAAGCTCGGGTCCTCTACCAAAAGACTGGGAGCTTGAGGGTCCTGCGCAGTATCTTAGCTGTTCCCAGGACTGCGCTCTTCTGGACAGAGATCTCCGATGTTGTTCCCGGGATCTGCTGGAGCCACT